TTGTAATTGCATGAATGATTCCTTGTTGATTCCTCCAACAATATGATATATTAAATTATAATGCTATTAGGACAGCAGCATGTGGGATGTTGTAGTTATTGTTGGGTTAATTAAATAAATTATAACTAGTTCATTGGATTAGTAATGAACTTCATTTAGTACTAAAATCTACTACTAATTCAATGACCACAATATGTTAGGTCATCAAATTACATTCTTAAATTAGTTCTCAATAGTGTTTGTCTTGATGGGGTTGATTAGTCACCTTTAGGATGTCAAAAAGACCCAATCCTACCCCCTTTCTGATCATTATGATTCATATAAATTCTTCTTTGGCAAGCATCTAGTTCATCCTTAGTCAGAGCAGCTAGACAGATATTGACCCCTTTTTAAATTTGCTGCACACCCTATACTGTTATGAGCCTGAGATCCTTTCATTCCAATATATCAACCAGATAGTTGAAGAATTTAAATGGTGTATTTCTTCTCCTTGTAGGATTCTCTACCATTACTGTCACACCCCGAATTTTCACAAATCCCGGAAGTGAGTGAAAAGAAAGAAGAAAAGTAAATGAAAGGTCATTAGGTTGGATAAATTGATTTTTTATTCATTTTCCACGTTTTTTCAAAATTTTTCAAGCCACTTTTCTTCCATTTTTAACCTATTCCTTCAAGGTTTTTAAACCCCCCCTTTTGACATTCTTCCCACCTATTTAAAAGGTGTTTTACACACTTAACAAGTTTTTTTAATTTTTCATAAAATTTTGACATAACCTCCTTTGTTTTCCAAACCTTTTTACCACCTAATATTCACAACATTTAACGTATAAAAGTATATCACAACCCACTTTCACTCGGTGGCCACAATCTATCTAAATTAAACATACATCCTTTGTTTTTAATTTACTCATTTTGTTGTCTTAATATACACATATGATATTTATTAATAAAGATATCCTACATATCAATTGGGTTTACACCCTTACACTTTAAAATGGTCGAATGTCTAAATCCATTACTTTTCCAAACTGAAATACAAGTCATTTGGACTCATACAAAATATGTCCCAAGGGCCAAATATCCATTAAACCCCATTTTCTCTCATTCTTTTAAGACTTCCTCAAATCTCAAGTACTGGAAGTCCCAACTGTAATATGATATCCCACGAATGGATCAGCTCAACTGCTGGTATGACAAAATACTAATGTCAGGAACAAATTTAAGGTATGGTATATGCAAGTGTACATTTTAAAAACTAAAATTCCATAATCCCTCAATACTATGCAATATCAATATGCATGACACACATATGCAACTCTATGTCACCCATGTTTCGCTTCACAGTCTTCCCTCGTTAGCCCGCGAGTACTATAATTGGCCAAATTTTAGGTTTTTCACTACATGATCTACACCCTCATAATATATAGTACTATGTGCGCAACCCACGCTATGTTCCAAGGATTCATGTATGCCAAGATGCCATGATTTTTCTCAATATGAATTATATGAAACATTTCATCAAACATGTGGCGTATAACTTAAAATATACGTCATTCATAAAGTAAATCATAACTTTAAATTTACAATACTTTATCTACATGAATGTGAAACATCATTCAAGAGATTAAACATATGATCAAGTTTCATGTTCATTACTTTAACAATTTTTCAAGAAAAATACAAATACACAAACTACCAATTATTGGGATAAATCATAATCATCAAACCACAAGAGTTTGTCTACATAAACATAAGATATAATATAATAATCCAACACATATACAAAGTATACCTTCTATCATAGTAACAAATTGTCAAGAAACTCAAAGAATACAAAAGTACTTAAACTACTAACTTTAAGTTTTCAAAACAATGACCATCTAAATGATTTTCCAACATCAAGTAAACACCTAAATCATTCAATCAACACGTAGAAATCCAAAAAAACTTAAATCTATTCCTAACTTAACAAAATATCATACCTAAAATAATTTTTCTCAAATCAATAGAGTTGTGTTTATTGTATAGCCAAACCGATCAGTGAGAATATAACCCTTGTTGAGAGGATCAACTTCTTAAAAGGAAGTCTTATAAGAATCTTGACATAGGAATGAGTTTTGGTGACTTGAAACTTGAAGAACTTAGAGTTTTTCTTCTTTTTTCCTATTTGAACGTGTACTGCCCCTTCCCAGACCAAAACTGATATTTTTACACTAAAGGGGTTATATTTATAGTGGAGGGGCAAATGTGACCCTTTTTGTTCTTGATGAATCCGAGACCCTGATACATTACAACCCGTCCCGAAACGCCTCAATTTGACATTTTATTTTAACCAAACTTCTTCAAATTATTTTAAATGAAAATTTTCAAAACAATAGTTTTTCGCTTGTGATTGGGTTTGGCCGATCCCACCTGGGCTACATCGGATACCTTTTTGGTCCAATTTTTGAAACTGTTTTTGTTTATACTCAAATTCACACAATATGTGTATTTTAACATTCTAAGCATGTTTCTCTTCTATGACATATTCTAATTATGCTCCTAAACATGACTTACGTCTAAATGATGTATATGTAGTGTCCTACCGACAAAGGGTGCAGGAATAGTGTTCTACTGGCAAAATGAAAAATTTATCCTCATTTTCAGATCTTTACACTTACAATGATGGGGGAATGATCAGATACCCCAGATGTTAAGAATTCTACCACAAATTGACTAATGCTAGTATTCCACCTCTCATCCACTAAGGCTTTATCCATGTTTCCTATAATGTAGTCAGAAACTTTCCTATTATTGGACAAGTGTAAAAGATACCAGTGTATCTAAAGTCCTCAAGTTCAGCTCCCTGAATGGATTCCTCAAACTCCGCCATTTCTTGGTTCCATTGACATGAGCAGCCCATTGATTCATTAAGATTTTTGATGACATCAAAATCCCCTATGATAAGCCAGGGGACACTGATATGAGAACTAGCCTACTACATTATATAACTCCACAATCTTATTCTTTTTATCCCTTCATTCTGGGCATGTCCAATAGACACAACAAAATACAGTTTACTCTCGAAATGTTGCACCTAGCAATGGACTACCTGGTCAGATTCAGAGGTTTTTGTAACTTGGAGGGTTTTAGGATTCCAGCCTATCCAGATTCTGCCAAAAGGGTGACTCAAGTAATTCTCATAAAAGTCCCAGTTTCTAAATAGTTGTTGCGTAATCCTATACTTATTAATGATTATCCTAACATTAGTTTCAACCACACCAATTAGGTCAAAATTTTGTTCCCTAATTAACTTCTTCACTTCCTCCTGCTTGGCAGTGTCATTTAACCCTCTGATGTTCCAGCTGGATATATTGATCATGATAACATAACTTTGCTGAGCCTGAGGTACTCAGCGTCCCTACCTTTCCCCTGGTCCTCAGGTCTTTTGTTTATTCTAGAGACAACTTGATACTCAGCCGTAGGTTCACTAGGAACCTTCAAGTTCTCTTTACTTGCACTCTCCTTATTAATAATAGACAAAGTAGGCTTAGGGAGTCCAGGACTAATATCCACCACTAAATTGCCCTTTTTCTCAGTAAGGCACTCAAAATTTGTTACTACTAACTTTTATTACAAGTTTCAGATCCACCAAATTGGAGTTGTTAGGGTTTATAGAGGATACTTGGCAGTCCATTTAGTTTTATGAGTTTTAGTTGCACCAATCTCTTTTGCATTACTAGTGCCTTCTGAGGGGCATCTAACCCTCAACTCTGGTGGAGTGTGTACCCGGTTGCCCACCATATTCTACTGAGAAGTCACAATAACTTCACTAGTCTCATTCATCACAACCTTGCCCTTATCTAACACACCGGGGGCTAGCCTTTGTGCAACCACTATTGCTTCCTATTGACTACTTTGTTTTGCACAATTGGTATTAGAACAATGTTACCTGGATCATGGTTCGTTTGGTACGTGGTATGGGTACAGGTACATGGAACCACACTTTTTTAGGTACGCGGTACGATAGGTGTAAGTTTAACTGGTATAGTATTTTGAATCGCAATTCATTTTGGAACTCTTATGTAGATCATTTTTACTACTATACAACATTAAATATTAAACACTAACTTAGTTACCATTTATCTTATAGTTGTGCTTGATTTTTTATTATCTAAAACATTATATAATTATAAATTTATATACATATAATCAATTAATATGTATTTTATATTTGTGCTATATATTCTAAAGCGAATTGATTTAGAGTTGGTATTATAATTTGGGGTCATTCATTTTGGTGATCTGGATCGCGAATCCATTTCGTTTGGAATCGATGTACCCAGATTATAGGTCATTAAGGGTTTAGTGAATTGTGGTAACCATGGATTAGAATGTCCAAAAACTTGACAAATTTTGTAAACTTTGGGTCTCCATTGATATTCTACCCCCCAATGACCAAATTATTTCCACACAAATTCATACAAAGTTAATTCTTTTCATGATAGCAGTCAAAGAATTAGCATAAAACGGTCTGCCTACAGCACTCAATATAACTCAGCCCTTCCTCCGACCAGAATTGTAAGAGAATATTATACAGCTTGATCGATGCTAGACTCAAGAGTGATTGTCCTTGGCCAATGCCAAATCTGCTTGCAATTTGTTGAGTATAAGAGGTCTTCCTTGGAATAACCAAGGACCAGATTCAGCCACTTTGAATCTTGCCTCTTCACTTTCAAATTTGAAGAAGAAGACAATGTAAAGCACCTCCAACAACCCCACACTGTCCCATAGTGTATGAGCAATGAATTTCACTGAGGAGAATGACATTTTATTCTCAATGAAATATCTTACTAAGTTGTTCCTCCATTCTATACACCCTTTATTTACAACCTCAATCAGTGGCTACACAAGAATTCTATGTTTGATCCTTTTAGGTTGGTAGTACTTCAACTTCATTTGTTCTTGAAGGTACCCCTGCTTTACAGTAGCTGCTATTGAAGTTCCCCTACTTCCAAACTTCAAGACTTGATTCCAAGGGGCTTTGATTCCACCCTTTCCTTTATGCTTATTACCCACCTTATCACTCCTTGGTTGGGTAGTAGTTTACAAGGCTTAAGAACAGCAGATCTCGACCCAGATCTGGGTAGCAGGTCAGCTAAATGACTATTGTCATTTGAACCATTCTGCACTTTATTGCCTTGTCCCGAGTCTCCAATACTTACCTCACCTTCATCAATGAGGGAAAGTGCATTAATGAGGGATGTCTCCATTCCAGTCTCACTTGGTTGGCTGGCTTCCTTAACTTTAGATTGCAAGGGCCCCAAAGCCACCTTAGTGGCCACAGAACCTCTAGCATTTTCCTGACCCTCCACCAAGGTGCGTTCACTAATAGAGGCTTCCATAAGAATAAGATTAAAACTCGGAAGAAATCAACAGGGAGGTGTGGGTGAGGGAGATGGGATGAGATCAAAGGGCCTACAGTCAATTCAAAGGTCACAGTGAATTAGGTCAACAAATTATGTCAGTAAAGTAGATTCCAATAGCATTGCTCATATTTTTTAGAATTAATTGTACTGGAGGTTCTCAAAATATGAAATTTTGTTTTATTTTGATCCCTAATATTTGAATTACATCATTTTAGTTCATGAAGTATTGAATATCTTTCTACTTGGTCCCTCAAGCAGACAATGTCCATATTACTAACGATTTTTTTCCATAAACTTGTCAGTTGATACTTAAATATAGACAAAAAAATAATTTGAATAACTTTTGACCAAATTTTTACTCAAATTTTGGTTAAATAATTATTCAAATTACACAATTTTGATAATGAATTATCAAAATTTTGGTCAAAAGCTACCCATAATACACATTTTTTTGTAATGAGCTACCTAAATTTTGTTTAAGAAGTATCAAAATTATTTTTTTTTCTATATTTAGATATTACGTGACAAGTTTATAATAAAAAATCATTAGCAATTTGGACATTGTCTGTTTGATGGATCATATAAAAATATATTTAATATTTCAGAGACTAAAATGATACAATTAAAACATTAGAAATCAAAATGAAACAAACTCTATATTTTGGGAACTTCCGGTGCAATTAACCCTCTTTTTTATTAATTAATCTAATTTAAATTCTAATCCCAAATCAAATTTTGCATAGTTGAATTTGGATGTAGCAACATAATGTATACACAATTGAACTAAAACTTGTTCGTGCATAAAGGCACGTTTTAATACCAAAAAATTTAATAATGAAAATAATAACATGTATTGAAAATTAAGATTAAAATTTAACAAGTCTTCGTCAAAATCCTACAATCAAAGCAACAATCCGAGTTTGCTAATAGCAATCTCAACACCATCGACTGGTTTTGGATGAGGAAGATAAGTGACCTCTGCATTAGGGTTGACCAATTCCCACCTGAGATTACAGAAAAACCAGCTCATATTTCAGATATTCATTTACTATATAGCAAAGCAAAAGCATTTAAATTATACATGGTTGGATGACATTGTTCTTACTTGCATCCTGCAGCCAAATGATGAACAAAAATGGCGATTTGTAAGCGAGCAAGCATGTTTCCAGCACAAATTCTTGATCCCCCACCAAATACTTGGAATGTTCCGGGCTTTGCAGGTTCCTGAGGGAGTAGATTGCATACTCAATAAGCTAACAGATCGAGCATTCTGTTACCAAACTTTAATTACTAGTATATAAAGGCTTACATTCCATCTTTCTGGTTTAAAGCACAATGGATCCTCAAAGTTTTCCGGATCTGTATGGAGGTATCTAGCCCAGAGAATTACCTTCCAACCTTTTGGTATTTTATAACCTGCAATAATGAGCAAAGCAAGTTGCACCTAATACTTGCAAGTAGGTCACATGAAAAAAAAGCTTGTAGTCATGGTTCTAACGACAGATATTAAACGTACAACTGCTAAATATTTGTATTATTACATGCAAAGCATAGCTTGTTCACACTATATTGTTTTAATTTTAGCCAACATTTCAGCAAATGACCCATTATTTATTTCGCCATGTTATCGATTGCTTCCTTGGAATGTCACTCTCTTCTTCGTAGTTTGTAGATCAGTACGAGAACCTTACCATTTCCATGCAAAGTTCTCCCACAAAACAGAATTTGACTTGTCTATTGGTTATCCAGAGTAAGAATGTGAAAAAAGATGAAGGTTTTTCTACCTTTGTACTCAACATCTTTCGCAGCTGTTCGAAATATAGTTGATGCTATGTTAGCCAATCTTATTATTTCTTCCACCACCTGTACGAACAGAAATTTTGAGCTAACAGTAATAATTTGCAAGAGAAACACATGAATTGGGACTGAAAGACCCGTGTAAAACTAGTTCATTCATCTTCATTTATTTGGCAGAAAGTTTTAATTTTCTCACCAACTAATTAAATTGTAACATGGTCACCTAGAAAACACGGATGCGAATACATTATATGGGTACGACATTATACGGATACGGAGTTACAATAAAACTTAAAAAAACAAGATACAGGTATAGACATGATATGTTTGTAATAAGATATGTTTTATATTTTACTATTATTTAACGACTTAAAAATTATAATTTTTAATAATTCTTTAACGGTAGTAAACAAATTTAGGATTTTTTACCTTCAAAAAAATATAATATCGCCTCATTATGATATACATGCATAAAATGAGCGTGACCAATTAAAGAAATTAGAACCACATTTAACTAGTTGGGTTACTTGCAAATATTTATTTTTAAGATTATAATGTAATTAACTCATTTTTATATACTCTTTTGACATATAATAGTAGATAATACTTAAAAAACACTTCTTTCTTCAAAATTAGATGAAATTTTGTTGATTTTGCGTATGTGAACTCAAAACGAGATAATATAGATTAAAATAAAAAAATTATACATCTTACTCAATGTTTAGAAATATCTGCAAAGTATTCATACATTTTATTATTAATCGGATACATATAATACGTATTCGATACGTATCCGATGAGTACCTTGTTTGATACAAGTACGTCAACTTTAACAAAGTATCTATACTTCATAGATGATCATAATATATATACCTGGTACGTATATCTCAATTTTGTGATCTCATCACTTGTGATGAACTCACCATCCTTTTCCTTCCTCAAAGGCATATGCTCCTCCTGCAAAATCAGAATAAAAATGTTCAACAAGAGCGAAAGAGAGATGTAAAAGGAAACATACTGCTTCACTCCATCCTTTAATGCCGAAGAGACATACCCGAAGCTTTTGGAGTACATGGGGGTATTTAGCAAGATAGTAAAGAGTCCAAGTGATTGAAATGGAAGTGGTTTCATAACCAGCAACAACAAGACCGAGAATGTTATCGATAACCTCAATGTCATCTAATTGTTTTCCTTCATCATCCTTCAACAGCATCAGCCCATCCATTACATCCTTCGTAGTGTTGTCACTGTTCTGGTACATCTTTCTCCTTTCCAACTCTTCCCTAAAAATCCCGATGGCTTTATTTCGACACTGCCAATTACAAGTACATAGTTTAGCAAAACAGCTTCTGTTCAGTTGAACCCCCCCATTCACGTCCTACTAACTAGATCAACATTGTCAGGTTAAGAATTCAGCAATAATCTTTGTTTTTTGCTACAAAACGCAGATAAAAATAACAGTGGAGACAAAATGAATTAGACTCGGAATTCAATGTGACCATTGGTGTTTGATCTCGATCGGACAAACAATGATTTGCCATGAACTCCTTCAGTTTTGGGTCGAATTTCTTCTAGGCATTTAAAACTCTGTTTTTATGAGAGATTCCGAATTCAATGCCTTCAATTTTATTAGACTTCAGATGACACATGTTTTTATGTCATACAGTTAAATTGCAATAGTTAATAAATGTGTTAAGAAATGGACATGATTGTTTACAATTGTCTTAGGACTTCTTGCAGTTAGTTTATGCATGTAGGGAAACACAGTGTGTTCGTGGTGAGTTAATTTTACTAGTATGGGAGGAGAAAAATGTGGATATTTCAACAAAGAGAGAGATCAATCTTACTGAATTGGAAATAAAGATTGGAGCACAGTGAATAACCAACCTGGATACCATGGTGAAAAGGAGTACCCGGAAAATTGATTGGATAACTTCTAATTCCCATAAGCATCCCATCAAACATCTCGTCAAGTGTATCCAGAACCGGACTAGGCTCCAAGTTGGCAAAAAGTTTGCCGATGTTTTCAAAGGTTACCTGGCAGGCATAAGACCATGGAAATGAAATAGCAAGAGACGAGAGACGAGAGACGAGAGATAAATTGGATACATGTTCCACTGATCAGTACTATTACCTTCTTGACTTCATTGTAAGCAACAACAGTACCCTTCTCGGCCCAAGATCGGAGGGCAGAAGCCACTCGGGGTTGGACCTTGATGGCAATGCGACGCAGAGCATCAGGCTGATCAATAGCTCTTGTGATAAAGCTTTTGAGCCTAGTATGTGATGTCCCTTGCGCAGCCAGAATAGAATTGCGGCCTACAATATCCATGGTAGGCCATTCAGTGGTGAAGTACTTGGCTTCTGTTTGGTAAATAAATTTGTTGAAGGTTGGGGAGCATGATATGATTGTCGAAGATCCAAACAGGTGGGTTTTGTAGATTCCCATAGCTTTCCCATAGCTAACATTCAAGAGATTGGTACATAACTATTTATATACTTCAACTTGCCGACACACCCCCCACATGTGAGCTAGAATTTTGGACCAAGCAGGTGCAAGGTTTTTAAACATCTGTCTTAAAAAGCTCAAGTGGGTAGAGAGATATTGAGATCTTCTCCGTTATACTTTTTTTCAGTTTCATTTAACATTAATGCTAGATTAATTAAATTTGAAGTCCAAATGATATGGCAGTTGACTTGGACTTCTTTGATTGGTGTCATATCATTTGGGATTCAATAAAAACGTCAAATAATCAACTGTCATGTCATTTAGCCTCTAAATTTGGTCCCTAAATTTTGTCAGTCTAGCATTACTCTTCATTTAATGGTAGACCATTCATCATGTATGAATGAGATACCATTACTAAATGATGGGTTCCATGTGTATTACTCGTAAATGACATACTGTTGAGTGAAAGTGTAATGAAGAGAATTTAAATCCGTTAGAACCCCTCCTTCCCTATTTTTAAGGATCCCTCATATTGAGGAGGTTTTCCAAACTCATGAAAGACGACTAGGAACAAAAGGAGAGTTAGTAGTCTTTGTCGTTGCAAGTCATTTTCCTTTTCCTTCCACCGAAGAGAGGGTATTATAGAATGCGTAAATTAAATTACCCAATTTCAATATTTTTTTGTATATACTTCGTCACTTATGATTTCAATATTCTTTATATTCTTATAATTATCATACCTTAATTTCAACAAAAACATCAATAGACAAACTCAAAAAAACTAATGAAGAACATCTTACTTGCATCGCTTAGAATTAATGTAGTCATCGGGGCGGCGAAGAACCTTGAAGTACCAAACAAAAGTAAACATCTCTCCGAAAAATGGAACACCCATGTAGCCCGGAGGAATCTCAGTGGCGGTGCCGGACCACCGATTCTTAAAGGACAGACCATGCCAGAGATCATTTCACCGCAACAAGTGCCACAAAGCCAATGGCAAAACTCCTAAAACCCATGTCAAGTTCATTCCCACTGTCACTTCCATTTTCAATACCTCTCTTCTCTCTAGTAGTTGGTACTTGACTCTTTGTCACAAACTGTCCAGATTTATCTCCATTTATGGGTATTTGATCGAATGATTCCTTGTTGATTACCGAATCTGAGTCCTTCTGCTACAAGATAAACACTTGCACTTTCATGAATGATTCCTTACTGATGAGTTTGATAATTAAAATACTTTGGGAAGCAGGTTTTGGGTGCGTTTGCCATGACATTGCTCATGAGTCATGACAAACACTAAAGATCAAAGTCAATTCATCCTCATCCTTTGTCCTTAAGCGGGGGCTGTGATTCCGAATATTAAGGTTAGAGGGTCTAGCTCGAAGTAGCTGGGATTCGGCCCATTGAAATCCCTGAATGTGACTAACCCTTTAACCTTAATATTTTTTAACAATTATCTTAGTTTAAATATGAATCCCTAAAATCAAATTTTACGAATTCGGATTTTGTGGCATCAATATTTGATCCATTATTTAATAAAATCTGAGTCTAACCCAAGTAGTTTGATGAAAATTTTTATTAGCCCGGTAAAATGGATAAAAATATTTTCATTGAAAGTAAATTCAATTTATATTGCAGTTGGGATATGAGTTTTTAACCCGACCCAAATCAAATAATTCGGGTTCAATCACAATTGAATATGAATTTACCACAAATTTCAACAAGGTGAACCCCACTTTCAACTCAATTGTTGCATTAAATTAAATTTTCGGATTAGGTCTCTAAATTAAATCTAATTCAACAAACATGTTGAAAATAAATGTTAATATAAAAATCATAATTGGTCCTTGAATTTTACTTTCAATTTTCTCAATTTAGTCTCTTAACTATGAATTTCGCCTCATTTAAGTCCTCCCGTCTATTTTTACCTTTAGATCAAATAAAGACTAGTCTAATCTGATCAATTTCTACCGTCAGATCATGTGTTTTCACTTAATCTAACAGTGAAAATTAACGAAATGACTTAAATTAGGATAATTAAAAATTAAAAAACTAAATTAAAATTAAAATTAAAGTTCAAGGACTAATCATAAAATTTATCATAAACCCTAGGTGTTAACAAATATTTATAATTAGGGTAATGTAAACTCATTGATATTGATAGTTTAAGGCTGGAATGTGATTGGAATCAAAATTAAACACATACTTTCGACACTTGGCAGAGGGGTTCTAGAACAGCATGCATCACCAGGGAGATTAGAATCAAGAAAGGCATCAAAGTAATGTCACACTCTCACTTTATGTTGATAGACAACCATTATCAACCCAGCTGTGGAATGTTAAAAAAAAATTCAAATTATGAGAGTGGTTTGGAAAACCTTTTTTTCTCTAAATGATTAATTAGGAGATTTTTAAAATATTTATTTAATTTTATCCTATCAAATAATTGTTAAACTTTCACGCACGCACACATACACATATTTCTAATTCAGTAGTACATTTCTACTCTACAGGAAATTTGTCTTTTAGTGACAAGGTTTAGTGATGAACAGTAAAATTAATTGTCAAAAACTAATTTTTGGCAAAGATTTTTAACATTCCCCACAAAAACCCAGTTTTTGATTATTTTTTTTTTTGCGACAAATTTTTTTAATTGTTGCTCAAAATCTTCACGAAAACATTTCTTTCTAGAAATTTTTAACACAAAAGTTGGCGCCAAATTATAATTTTATTGGTGACAAATTTTTTTTTGTTGCCAAAAAAGTTTTTTGGTCTCAAAAATTTAATCAAACAAAAGATAATAAATAAATAAATTTGCAACAAATTTTGTTCGTCGCAGAAAAATATTGTTGAATTTTTTTAGTGGGCGACATATAATAATCGGTCGCATAATCCTTTAAATTTAAACAAATGATCATTAGATTAAAACGACGTCGTTTTAAAACTAAGGAGCAATAATTTCTCCTTCCAAAACGACATCGTTTGGAACCCTAGATTAATACTCCCATTGGCTTGTTTTCAACCATTCGATGAAATCCTCCCTGCGTGTACTCTGTCTCTGCCGAAGCTTCACACCAGCAACACCATCGACAACTCCTCTCTCTCCCTCAAGCTCAGTAAAACCCTCCTATCATGATTAAATATGCTTCTTGAAATATTAGAGGGTTGAATGACCCCTCTAAGCAAGAGGAAATTAAGAAACTTATTCTAGCTTCTCATCTGGATCTTATTGGTATAGTGGAAACTAAAGTGAAGTCTGTGAATTTCCCTTCTATTAAACAACATATCTTTTTGCATTGGAATTCCTATGTCAATTACCAAGTCATCCATTTGGTAGGATTTGATTAGGAGGGAATCCAAATATTCTGGATATTACTAACATCCATGAATTTGATCAAGCTATTCACTGCCATGTCTATCATATGGAAAGTCAATAAAGCTTTTTTGCTTCTTTCATTTATGCTTCCAATGAGGTGGTGGAGAGAAGAAGGTTTTGGAGTGAGATAAGATTTCACTCAAGTAATTTAGGGGTGGGCATCAACGGGTCCCGCTTCTCAGCGGTAAGGAGCTTACCGCATAACATGCGATTTAATAAAACGACAGCGTTTGACTGTTTTTGGAATTTTTTTTTTTATTGACTCTGACCAAGACGACGTCGTTTTAGTCTGGATAAAACCACAACTGAAACCACCCTTTTCTTTCTCCTGCTTCTGCACAGCTCAATCTCCCTCTTCTCAACTCATTCTCTATCTTCTTCTTTGTCAAAGGTAGTGAATGCCAAAAGCTCAGTGCACTTTTGCTATTTGATTCAATTTTAGTTACTATGTTGTTGGGACTGTTGGGTGTTTTCCATTACTATTTGTTGGAGTGGTAGGGCTTGTTTTTTGCTTCTTTACTAAACTTAGGTCTTGGGATGCCAATGTAATCTTTAGCAATTTTTGGAGTCAATAATGAAAGAAATTTTTATCAGACTGTTGACCAAGTTTACTTTTGGTTGTTTGGGTTTATAATTGCAGTAGGTCCTGAGTTTGCAAGATTTTGGGCGAAAAAGGGTGGGTTGAATTCAATTTTCATCCTGACTAGTGCTATACAATAGCATTTTTAAAAAAATGAAAACAACTGACAATCAATCAGATCAATATCAGCGTACAATTAACAAGAACTCCCATGGAACAGAACTTACACTAGTGGTATATGAACAGAGATTAATTACCTGGCTTGTATTGTAAGATAATTAAGGTTTGGTTTCGTATTGGTTGCTCTTTTTCGTTCACACTATTGCTCA